TCGACAACTAATATCTACGTTGCTCTGACGTTGTTTTACAAACATTGGTTCAACAGGAGCCAACAGACGTTGAATTAACGTTCATTCATGGTTAAATGTACGACGTCGATTTGTGAACCAATCTCAACGTTGTTTTAACGTGGATTCAACGTTGAATTATAGTTGACGAGATTGGCAACCTAATTTCAACGTTGTTTCAACGTCGAAACAGTAACGTCGATCCAATTTGCATAGTCAACCCTTTTTCAACGTCTATCCAACGTCTGGAAGGTCATTTCCAACGTTGATTCAACGTTGGATAAACGTCATTTTGCCCGCTGGGAATGTACGACTTTTTGTAGTTTTGTACCTATTAAAATTGAATTTTCCTCGAGCATAATACGTCGAGCATAATAGGCTGTTTCACGAGCATAATACATTGTTTTAACGAGCACTGCCTTCGGGCATAATAGCCATATTTTCGGCATAATAGCCATATTTTCGGCTAGTGACGGGACTAATTTCTAACTCGTTAAGTTAACTTTGAAACGCTGAAACAGGGAACTAAAAAATCTGAAAAAATGGCTCCAAAAAGCGCGGGGTCATCCGGCTGTAATTGAATTAGAATTTTCATGTACAATTTATGCATTTCTAACCTGTTCGTACGATTACAATGCATTCTAAACTCGCAGAGGTAATGAAGTTTGGGTGTTTACAACAAAATGATGATTTCTAAAGGGTCGAGTACTGTCCCTGTACAGGTTGTCTAAAAAAACTGCAACCCTTTAGTCTGATTCAGGGTTGCCTGCAGATTGCTGAATAAATAGGCCAAATATCATTACAATAACCTTTTGTTTTCTTTGTTGGAAACAAAGAAACCAATGAGCCGCTTGTAACAATGTTTGGCTTATTTATTCAGGAATCTGGCAACTGTGGTTTCCATATGGTCGTAGCGGTCGTAAAGATTGAGTCACGATCTTTCTCATCAGCCGAAATACAACATTTTAGAACTGAAAATACTTGGAGTGATTATAACTAGAGAATATACTTATGATTTATATGTGGTTTCCAGGTATAAACTATTATAAGCTGACCGTTGAGAAATGGACTAGGCTTTTGAAATCAATATTTTCAGAATTTGCATGATTCAGTCCCCAATTGATCCCAAGGGTGCGCAAACACAGTAGAAAGGAATTTCATGCTTTGGGATGTACTGTACAGGGTGTCTCAAAAAAACCCAAAATCATTGAAATAACATATTGTTCGAATTTCAATGCCGTAACACAAAGGATTTTGACAGGGTGATTAATTTGTTTTAAAAAATTAAAATATCTTTGTAAAGTGAACGTTTGTTGGCTCATGGGAATTTAAAAATGCTTCGTAAATTCGTGGGTTTAGTACTTTATGCCTGACATAACAAGTTTACGCTGAGTATTACCATTCATTATAGCAGTTACGTCAATCTTTTATGCACTCGTGGGATTAACTTAGTGCTAGGGCATTGAATATCGAACAATACGTCAATTTCAATGATTTTGGGTTTTTTTGAGACACCCTGTACAGGGTGTCTAAAAAAAATCGCTATGGAAATTCAACTGGCTGTCGTGCATCATAAACGTGGCTAAACAATTCAATTTTTACATAGGACGAAAGAACAGTTATTTAGCTTTTTATTGATACTCTTTTTAAGTCGTAACGATGAGAAATGGCCACATACTCGTCAAACAAAAATTACCGGTCGAAATCACATTCTTCCACCATTGGGAATTGCATGGAAAACGAAACATAGACCATTCCCAAGAGGGAATTAAAGTCGAATATTAAATTATCTAAAATGAGCTCAACTCGTCAACCTTCGTCTTAGTGAGACAATAAAAACGTCCATATTGCATTAAAAATGGTTCAATTAACGACTGAACAGAGAACATTCGTAATTAGTTGAAATTCCATTGATAGCGTTTTTTTTTAGACACCCTGTACAGTAAATGAAGAATTTTTTAGCTCATGCAGCAGATATATGGTCTAGCAATACTGGTATATAATATGAATAACTGAATCACATTGTGTATGTTTCCTCTTCCCTTATCCAAATGAGGACAACGTCAACATAACAAGAACAACCTTCCAAAATTTAACAAGTATAAAAAATATTCAATCATCTACTGTACCTGTTGCATCATGCTCATCAGTAAACCTCTCATTAATTTCACCACGCTCTGAAAAAAAACAATGTTTGTTTTTACAAAAGTAAAAAATATTAGGAATAATGCTGTCCTATTAAATGCAAAATGACAGACATTAAAACTTTGGAATCAATTGATTTTCTGTCATCAAATTCACCACTCACCTGCTTCAGTTCAAATACTTTTGCTTTTTCGTCATCATGATCTGCATTTTTGCTGTATGCCAGTGCTAGGCTCCACATACTTAAACTTCCATACACATTATCTCGAACCCAGGCATCTCCAGGATAATCTCGAGATCCAAATTTCCTCTGACCTCCAGTTGGAGGTAATAGTCCAGTTACCGGATCCTATAAAATTAAAATAGCAGTGTTGCAAGAAAGTGACGTAATTTTTCATTAATTAATTAATTTTATTATATAAACATAGGTGTTATATAGAGTTTTTGGCCACTCAGAAAAATCGTATTTAACACACACGTAAAAAACCCGATATTTTTACGTGTGAAAATGTCATTTGTTGTAAAACGCATTGCCACGGACGTTTTATTGTTTTTCACTGAATTTTGTTTATATAATAAACAGAAAAATACATGGATGCTTGGAAATATCAGATTTCGCTGTGCTCACTCGTGAGATATCATGTTCAACACTCGAAATAAATCTGGTATTTACGCGCACCCATATATTACTCTATCTATTAGATATTCGTTTTATCCATGTTTAATTCTCACATTCTGGCAAAACATACGCCCGACTTTATTATTTTACACTGTCTAACACCTGACAATTTTACTCATCAGGGGGAGAGTATTGGTGCTAGCTAGATGCTAAGATGGATTACTTAACTTATTTTTATTATTATTGCTTGTGACCGATTATATTACATTAAAATTTTGTAACAGTTACCGGTAAATGTGAGAATCATGAGAGACAATTAAATTATTTTGATTTTCTTTCCGTAGTTGTTTCATAACGCCACATTACAGTGACAGAGAAAACTGATGTTTGCCATATATTCAATATATGGACCAATTTCACAGACTAATTCACATCTTTTCAAGAATATTAAAAAGCTCACTATTTCCAATACTGGAAAGTTCGTCACTTTGGCCGGTCAGATCTCCTGCGGCAGGTCAATTTGAAAAAGTGCTACTGAGGTGGTTTATTCTGCATGCGGTAGAGTTTTGCGGTATTTTAGCAAGGAATTTGAAATTCCAATTGCGGAAGAATATTGTGGCATATATACTAGCTAAACACGTTCTTTAGTATTTGCCTGAAAATGTCTGATTCCCAAACACCGGCCTCCAAAGTGGGAAACAGCCAAACATGTGACATATTGAAATTAGAAATGTCGGCCCATGTAAGGTATACACTCAGGGTGTCTCAAAAAATGCTATGGAAATTCAACAGGCTGTCATGCATCATTAACGTGGCTAAACAATTCAATTTTTACATAGGACGAATTCAAAGAACAATTATTTAACTTTTCAATGATACTCTTTTTAAATCGTAACGATGAGAAATGGCCACATACTCGTCATTAACAAATAAAAATTGCCGGTCGAAATCACATTCTTCCACCATTGGGAATTGCATGGAAAACGAAACATAGACAATTCCCGAGAGGGAATTAAAGTTGAATGTTAAATTATAGCTCAACTTGTCAGTAAGTAAATTATAGCTCAACTTGTCAGTATAGCTCAACTTGTCAATAAGAACGTCCATTATATTGCATTAAACATGGTTCAATTAACCACTGCATGAACAGAGAACATTCATAATCAGAACGTTATACAAAACAAATACCTTGCAGCAGGCTCGCGTTGCTTTTGGATTGATTAATTACTTTGCATAATTAATGTATTTGCATAATTTTCAATTCCCAATGGTGGAAGAAAGAATGTGATTTTGACCGACAATTTTTATTTGACGAGTATTTGGCCATTTCTCTTTGTTACGGTTTAAGAAAGGACAGCGATGGATTTACTGGGGGTTGTGGGGTGGGGGGGGGGGGGGGGGGGGGGGGGGGGGGGGG